AAAATACTTTACCGGAAAATTAAAATCCCAACGCGTGACTGTTACCTGTCGTGCCTGCTACAGGTCTCCGGCAGAAGTGCCGCTACGACGACGGCTGCGTGCCCAACGCATACTGCCGGCACCAGGAGCGCTGCGAGTGCAAGGAGGGCTTCATCCCCACCCGGGACCTGCTGCACTGCCAGGGCGCCGCCCCCGCAGGCCCCGCCGCCTCCGCCGCCCTCCTGCTCGGCGCGCTCCTGTGGTCCCACTGACCCGCCGCGGCCTCCGCGACCCGTCCTGCTCGGCGCGCTACCGTATGGCACCGCGGACCTGCAGCCACCCCCGCCACGCCGCCACCGCCGCCGTCTTCACCCCCGTCTTGTCTGGAAAACTGCAATGGAATGTAGTGAAATTCCACCCTGTTGCAACTCGAAAAATAACAATAAATTTTTGAGGTGTGTGTGTGTGCGCGCGCGTCGTGTGCGTGTTTGTCTTACTCTTTCGATAGCCACCCACATTGCCTTCTGTTAGAGACAGTCTTGGGCACATCCATAGTAAAAAAAGAAAGTGTGGTGGCGGTATCAGTGTTGTGACGTCGCCCAAACGCCCGGCGCGCAGTCGGGGTAGGCCAGCCCGCACCACACGCGTGCGCTCCTGGCCGAGGGTTGCCTACCCACCAGGCGCCCCGACTCGCCCGGCCCGGAAGGGCGGACGGATCAGAAGTGTGCAAGCCTGGCGGAATGCAAAAACGCGGCTCGGGGCCTTCGGGGCCGGGGCCGGGCAGCGAGCCAATTCGCGTCAAACGTTGACGATCAATTGCGGACGAAATGAAAAAGTATGTTCCTGTCGGTCCAAAACTTACATTAAATATGATGCAATCGGCTGATTTCCATCACGCTTCTATATGATCCTCACGAAACACGGGTGTCTTGCTATCAAGTTAAAGATCTAATCTTGGAAAGAGAGCGGAACCCTTGATCCCACATACCTTTGGGCCGCTTCATAAATTGACGAGAACATGAGTAAAGTGCCAAAGTGTTCCTGAGCAGGGGTCTAAGAAAAGGAGGGGCGTCTGGGCAAGGACGAGGTCAGTCTTTTGCACTAATAGTTGACGTCCAAACGGCACGAATGATGCTGCTTTTAACTCGATGTCTAAGCCATAGTAGAAGGTTGTAGAAGAGAGGCGGTCTTGCCGGAATGCCGTCCGCTTTGCTGACCTCAGCAGCAGGGTCACCTGCAGGGACACCTCCCGCGGGATCTCTGGCTCCGGCGAGTTTCTCCCGGGGAGGTGCACAGGGATAGACGGTGCAGTCGGGAGATGCCCCCGGGAGGTCTCTGATGACCACACTGTCCTGCAGCTGCAGCAGTATGACGTGGACCGCGGTGCTGGCGAGCCTGCTGGCCCTGTGCGCCACCGCCCCGACGGCGCGCTGCTCGACGCCGGACGACTCGAACTACTTTGCCGCCGTGGTGGACTTCGCGGCGCCCAGGGCGACGGGGAAGCCCGCCCTGCAGAACATGATGGACAACGTGCGCGCGCTGGGGCCACTGGTGCACCAGGCCGCCCAGGTGGTGAGGAAGTGTTGACGGGGAAGAGGGTGGTGAACATCGATTGACGCGCACCTAACCCTAATCTGATCCTCCCGACAGAGCGCGGACATCATCGTGTTCCCCGAGGACGGCCTGCAGGGCTTCGACAACGAGGTGCTGCCGCTGTCGGTGCCCGCGCCCGGGGAGGGCGGCGCGCCGTGCGACGATGACGCGGCCGAGGCCGCCGCCGGCCAGCCGCTGCGTGAGCTGTCGTGCCTCGCCCGGACGCACGGCGTGTACCTGGTCGTCAACCTGGTGGACGAGCAGCCGTGCGCCGCCGGTGACGCCAAGTGCCCCGCGCGAGGCTCCTACCACTACAACACGAACGTGGTGTTCGACCGCAGCGGGAAGATCGTCGCCAAGTACGTCCTCCGGCTGCTGGTGGTGGTGGTGCACCTGACGGCATTCTTTTCTGGCCTCGGCTCGTCTGACCTGACCTGGAAAGTTTCCGGAAATTCTCGGGAGAAATGGGAAATTTCCGGGGAAAATCGAAAATTTCCCCGCCTTTGGCAGTATTTCGTTATTAATTTTCGGAAATTTTCCGGAAAATTTTGGAAATATTCAACCCCGCTCTCTCTCAGGTACCACAAGTACAACCTCTTCGGCGAGAAGTACGACGATGTGCCGCCCGCCGTGGAGCTCGTCACGTTCGACACCGACTTCGGCGTCCGGTTCGGGATGTTCATCTGCTTCGACATCTTCTTCGACACCCCGGCGGCGCAGCTCGTGCGCGAGCGCAACGTCACCGACATCATCTTCAGCGCGGCCTGGTTCTCCGAGGTGCCGTTCCTGACGGGTAAGCGGGGCGGAGAACGAACACCAATAAGGCGCGACCGCGACAGAGGGAGGTTCGACTCGTCACAACTGCTTGTCCTCCTTCTAGCCGTGCAGATGCACTCGGGCTGGGCGCACGCCCTCGACGTGACGGTGCTGGCCTCGGGGATGAACAGCCCAGCCGTGGGCAGCACGGGCAGCGGCATCTACCGCGGCCGCCACGGCATCTACGGCTACACGATGAACTGGCGCCAGGAGCACACCCTGGTCTTCGCCCGGGTGCCCAAGCGCGCCTACTGGCAGGACGGCGTGCGGCCACAGCCCTTCCCCGACCGCCTCGACCCCGTGCGCAACTACGGCGCGGGCGCGGACCCGTACGCGGACGTCAGCGCGCTGCACATGAAGAAGGACAACCTGACGCTTTACCGGACGGAGCTGCTGCCGCGCCCGGCCAGGGACCAGGTGGTCGAGGCCGCCGGCCACGTCTGCCACGGCGCCTTCTGCTGTCACTACGATGTGCAAATGCGTGGCGTCGCTCTGTTCCAGGTGAATAATGAGGCCTTGCTGCTCTGACCAACACGTTCAAGTACAACCCAATGCGAATAATGGCATGCTGTTTGTACGCTGTCGGACACAAACCTGTGCATGGTGTTTGCCATATCGTTAGTGTGACAGTCTCTTGGTTGCTTAGTCACCGAGTGACTGCGTATGGGTGTGGTGATAGTGCGACACTTTCCGCAGACGGCGAGTGCAGCCGTCAGCCTGCACGGCGGCTACTCGCGGCCGCGCGCCGCGGCGACCGTCGACGAGGAGGACGAAGAGGCCAAGGACGACTTCGACGGCTTCTACTACCGCGTGGTGGCGTTCAGTGGCGTCAAGGGGCACAAAGGCGGGGTGATCTCCACGGGCACGCAGGTGAGTGAGTGAGTGGGCGGGGCGGGGCTGATGTGATCGTCCTCACCTCACACTCCCCGACGACAGGTCTGCGGTCTCGTCTCGTGCCTGAGCGAGGACGCCCGCTCCTGCTTTGGCCAGATCGTCGCCGGGCTCGACTCGCCCTCCATCAAGTGGACCGAGTTCCAGTCCGTCTATCTCGAGGCCGAGTTCCCGCGCGAGGACGGCGTGCAGTTCGCGTCCACGCTGGTCGGGCCGCGGTACGACCCGCTGCCCGCCAGTGCGTTCTCTTTGGAGAGGTGCGTGTTCTCCTCGAGCAGAGGGCCCTCATGCTCCAATCTCCCCCTCGTCTACTGCCTTCTTGACCCTCTCTTGTTGATCGTGCGCACTTCCAGACGGCGCGGTGCAGAGGACGGCACGCAGAACCTGAGCCTCGAGCTGACTCAGCGCCAGCCTCTCCTCGATCTGCGCGCCTTCGCCATTTACGGCCGCAACTTTGCGTGGGACGGCCAGCCACCAACAGACTCGTAGAAAAAATAACTTTTAACAATTAAAATGAATAAATGAGCAACGTTTTTCAAGTTTGAATTTTTACCATGGCGATGGACTGGTTGGCCCTGACAAAACGATCAAGAAAAGATGAGCTGGATCGCACATCACGCATCTTCGGCTGAACCGGCTGAACTTCCCTTGCCGCTCTGACAATTTCTCATACACAAAGTCCTGAATAGCCTCGCAAGTGGGCGGGCGCCTCCCGGCCAACGCTGCGGGCGGCGCGAATGTAGTTGCGCAGCATTCGCGGCGTCTGCTGCTGTCAAAACAGAAACAGATGACAGAGGAGGTCCTGCGGCCTGGGGCTGATAGTGTGTACCCCGGCGGCAGGCGGGCTTAACCTCCTCGCGGTATCCATGGGCGACAAGTAAAGTCCTCCCGGACTTTCCTTGCGGCGCGCCTCCGGCCCCGGCAGCGCGGACACAGACATCGCGGAGGTCGTCGTGGCCGACGTCGCCGACGTCGTCATGGACGGCGACGCCCGCGCCGCCGAGGCGCCGTCATCCGGGACCGTGTCCGCGACGACGGCGGCGGCGCCCACCCTGCAGGACAAGCGGCTGGCGCTGGCGGACTGCATCCGCGCCGACCTCTTCGCCGCCGACCTCCGCTGGAGCCTGTTCGTGGCCGCTGCGCAGAGCTTCAAGTACGACACGGTGCTGCGGCCCTTCCCCCCGCAGTTCGGCAGCGCCGACGTCAAGGAGATCGACAGGCTGGTGGGTGCATGTCCTTTTTGTGTGTACTCTTGTCACCGTGACATTTATTATTAGGTGACAGGTGTTTAACAACTAACTTGCTCATTCACCCTGTTTGGCTCTGTGTTGGAGCGCAAAGCTTGAACCCTTTGTGCATATTTTTTTTTCACTCTCTGTCACAGCGAGAAGTTATGACGCAAATGCCTGCTTTCCCCACACTGCTCTCACTACTTGAGAATCCGTCTACAGACTGCAGCGATAGAGGACAACTCATTGATCTCTTGTATTGGGTGTTGATTGTTCAAGACGATCCTGGCGTTAGAACCCTCTCCAAAGAAGAGGTAATTTTAAGTATCTGTCCCTGGCATGTTTATCAATTATTCCTTTCCTTGATTAACATGCACCTCCTTTTATTTTCTTACAGGTGGATCAAGTCCTTGCTCAGGCTCCTGGAGGGAAGCTACCAAGGCCACATTTCATTTTTGCCATTGGTCCGAAAAAATTCACGGAAAAACAAAAACGCTTCTCAGAGCTTTCCAAAAATTTCAAGACTTTTTTCGGATACCATGGGTCTCGCATAGATAACTTTTATTCAATCATTTGCCATGGCTTGATTTCAACCCTGTCTAAAGCAAGTACAGAATAAAATTTCAGTAGACCCTGGTATCTTTCCTATTGGAGGTGCAAAATAACCGAGGGTGTTTTTTTTTTTTCAGAGAGAAGTGTATGGAAAAGGTACTTATCTCTCAACCGATTTTTCCACATCCTTAAATTTTAGCCCCTCAGGTTGTGGTTGGGGTGCCTCCATCATTGGTAGTGGACTCAGTTGTATGGCCCTGTGTGAAATACTAGAGCACCCTGATGTCATCTATGAGAAATCAGGTATGCCTTGAGAAGGATTTTACTACTGCTTTCCGTGTATTCACTTTGACATTATTTCTATGTCTAAAATGTCCAGATACTGAAACTCAAAAGACAGCAGAAGACAGCCAATTTGGACCTGTTCCTCAAAAATATATTCTTGTCAGGAATAGTGATTTGGTACAAATTCGCTATCTATTAGTTGATGGAAAAAATCCTCACTCCCTCACATGGTAAGTAACCTTCATTTGTTATTCTCCTATCATGCAAAAAATTGCTGTTTCCTTTCACATAACAATCTATTTTAACTTCAAAAAATTACTTTCATAATAAAGACCTATGCAATGTTTATAAAAGGTACATAGGTAATAGGTATAGGCTTATCATAAGTATTGCATTTTTGTTATTTTTTGTTTTTATAAGTGGAGACAGCGATTATGTTTTGTGTGACAGACTAATTTTTTGTCTTAATGAATATGCCTTTCTCTTCTATTTCCAGTCACAAAGAAGCTAATGCCTCTATGATCGGCTGGTTTTGTAAGCACAAAATGTTCACTCTGATGTTGGGATATGTGCTTCTCCTAAGTGCTGTAGGAATGTCTAATAGTCCCACTGTCATGCGCTATTGTCGAATGTTTTTAAGACGTTGGAATCACTAAGAAAATATTATTTAAAAGAGACGCTTACTTCTCTTTTTAAAACAATAAAACTTTAGGGTTCCATAACAACAACAAAAAT